TAATGTTTTTGCATTTGGGGAGGTAGATTTCAGAAGTGGTATAATGGGGTCAAGTGGGAATTCAATTCAGATTTTGTTAAATAAATATTTATCTTGTTTTTCATAGGGTCTGGACAAGATAATATTCCTGTCAACATTAAATTAGGGTTACTTTATCGCGTCCCCCCATTCAACATTTGTTTTCACTTTTTTAAAATAAATGTTATTTTCACAGGTGGTGAAATGAATGGTACCTATTTGTCTTTTAATTTGTATTGCGCTGATACAAAGAGATAATGAGTACTTGCCTATATGGCCATCAGAATTAAGTGAGATTCTGTGGTTTCTAATGCTATTAATAATGGTTTCTCATGTAGATAATCCCAACACCACTTCGGAACCCATTATTATAGATCTCTTTGTATCTCTCTGAGGGTTTATCACTGAGATATTAGTAAGCATAAATAACAAAATTTTTACAGTTGGGCCAGAAATAAAATATGAAACCATGAGAAAATATTAATACTCAATGAAAATAACAGCTGGTTCTTTGAAATGATCAACAAAATTGATAAACTCCAGGATCAGATTGTTTCACAATTAAATTGTAAGAAAAGCTTAGACCTCAACTACAAATCAAGAAAATCATTAAGTGGCACTCCATTTCAGGGATTGAAGTTATCAGGTTATATAATGGTTTAATGCATGCAATGTGTGTAGGGTGGGGTGGGGGAGGGGTACTAAATAAGACTTAAAACCATTTATGATAAAACTACTTGGTAAATTAGGAATCTAAGGGAAATACCTCAGCCTCCATATTATGTTAAACCTAGAGTTTGTTACACCAAATCTCAGCAGCAAAGATATTTTGAAGACTGAACTCTGTTGAGAAAGTACACAAAAAGAGAATAAACAAGATTTTTACATTCAATTACAAATATTATATACAGCAAAGTTAATAATTTCAAACACAAAAAGACAATTTGGGAAATATATTTGCACATCATATGTTAGACAAAGGGTTAAAAATTCAAAGTTTGTATAATATACAATTAAGTCATGCAATTGAACACTACTAGAAAACAAGTAACCCAGGTTAATTAAAAAATTTGACAGATATGAATAAAACTTTTTCAAATAAGACAAATAGATTGTCAAGGATTCATAAAAAATTATAACATAATTTATTATCTAAAAATGTAAATAAAACTAGAGTGAGGAATCAATTTATAGAGGCATCAACTTATAGAAGCAAGAATTTCTTACAAAATAAAAAGTAAAGGGTAAGTATTGGTGAGAACGTGGAGAGAAAGAGAAAGTTATGCTGGTACATTATTGGTGGATAAATCGTGTGTTGCAGCCTCTATGAAAAAACATTAATATTCTGCTACAGTAGAAAAATGATAATTCTATTCAATTCAGTAATAACCACTTGCATGAATAATATGAATACTCTAAAAGTATATTTTATTCCTAAGTTTATTGTAGCATCATTCACAAGTCTAAATATATATGTATCTATATGCACATATATATGTATACATAAATATATATCCTTACGGCAGACCCTGGCAAGCTCCCCATGGTGTATTTGATATACCAAAAACAGTAACAAGAATTCTCACAGTGGAGATGCTACTGGTGCCCGCTCAAGCAAATCAATGAACAACAGGAGGACAGTGCTACAGTGCTATAAATATATAAATATACTTAGAGAATTATTACTTTGCTTTTAAATAGATGAAATATTATCCTTCGGAAAAATTGATAGAACTTGAAGCTATTAAAGCTAAATTAAATAAATAAGGAAGTAAAAGATAATTACTGAATGGTTTCACTCATAAGTTGATAATAACTATTCTATTTGACTAAAGCAAATAAACTGAACAAACTGAAGGGAATAAAAATAGAAACACAATCAAAGCCAATTCCTAGACTCTGAAAACCGTTATGGTCATCTTAACAGAAGGAGATGACCAGAGTGTTTTCATCTGACCCAGAAATATCTGGGAATATATCCTGGGGGTGCAAAAAAAAACAGTAGAAGTGCCATCTGTATTTGTATGTTCATTTCAGCACTACTCACAATAGCCAGAACTGAAAATAACCCCAGTGCTTGAGAACAGATGACTGGTTAAAGAAACATCTATTGAATGGAATACTATGCAGCTGTTAGAAAAAAATGAATTCATGAAAATTGATTATAAATGGTGGACATGGAGAGTATCTTGCTGAGTGAAATGAGTCAGGAAGAAAGAGACAGACAAAGAATTACTGCACTCATTTTTCAAATATAAAATAACAGCATGAGACTGACACCAAAGGACAATAGAATAAAGAGCCAGGAGGATTGCTCCGTGTTTGGAAGCCTGCCTCAAGTGCTGGGGGTGGAGGTAGCTGGGATGGACCAGGGATCACTAAGTCAACGACGGGTGGAGGGATCACTTGGGATGGGAGATGTGTGCTGAAAGTAGGCAAAGCGCCAATCATGATGGCCTCTCAATATCTGTGACTGCAAATCATAATGCCCCAAAGTAGAGAGAGAATAGGAAGGAAGGCTCCTTCAATAGATGCAGGGGTAGCGGAGGGACATTAGTGTTGGGAAATGTACAGCAGTGGAGGGGTGGTTGTTGGAACATTGTATGACTGAAACTTAATCATGAAAGCTTTGCAGCTGTATTTCATGGTGATTCAAATAAAAAATTAAAGTAAAAATAAACAAAAATTAGTAGAGCGTAAGTTTTGTTTTCTGGATAACACTGGCTTTTTGGTGACTTTTGTGTGAAAAAATAGTTTAAGCAAAATACTGAAATTTCATAATATTGTCAACCAATGCTATGTCAATGAAAAATTGTTTTAAATTTTGTGATAGACAGTGCTGGAGGGATAGTTTGGCAAGGAAGGTATGTGGCTTGCACATGACTGAACCAGTTTGATCCCTAGCACCACAGATGGTCCCTGGAAATTTATTGAGAGTGATCCCTGAGTACAAACCAGGAGTAACTCCAAGACCACCAGGTATGACTCCAAAACAAACAAGTCAAGAGAAATATTTCAAAACCCTAGAAAATACTATAAATAATTAATACTTACTATAATACTATTACCATCTTAATACTAACTATAGTAGTGCTGTTAATCTGTTTTAGAAAAGGCTATTATTATGGATATCTATCTTTTCATCATCCTTATAAGTTAGCATCTCGTCATTTTACAAGTGAGTAAATAGAAGATCGAAGAGGATATGTAACTTGCCAAAGATCGTTTTTTGGTTAAGGTTTTGAACTGAGATTTGTAACAGAGTTCATGTTCTTAATCATTTTACTACATTGCCAAATCTTCTTCCGATAATGCCTCCCTTATCCTGAGAAAAAGTATGTAGTTCAATCTATCTTTATTGAATAAAAAGTTCCTAGAGAGTTATTTAAAAAGCTTTACTCATATTAAAAAAAAAAACAATTAGCTACTCTTCTGGATTGTTATTTATTTAATGAAATGCATTAGTAATTTGAAGTGGACTACAATAAATTACTCAGAGAAAATGGTTCAACTAATTGGTCCAGAAAATCATCTGAAGGATATAATTAAATCGCCTGGTGTACTATTACTGCTAGCATACACACTATTACTGATCTTCAGGACCAGGACTGCTTGCATTTCCAGCATAATAAGTGGTACCAAGACAAAATTCATGAACAAAATCTGATTCAAGTCATTAGTCATGTGGATAGCTAATGTAAGTAAAACAAAATCAGTATTTATTTTCAATATTTGGGTTTCCTACTATATATTTTAGTTCTTAGAAATAATCTATTAAAAATAAACTTCAAAAAAAAGTCAAATTCTTATATATAATAGCACAGTGGTAGGGCGTTTGCCTTGTGCACAGGTCCGGCCGATCCTGGTTCAATTTTTCCTCTGGGAGAGCCCGACAAGCTACTAAGAGTATCTTGCCAACATGGCAAAGTCTGGCAAGCTACCCGTGATGTATTCAATATGCCAAATACAGTAACAACAAGTCTCACGATGAAGATGTTACTGGGCCCACTCGAGCAAATTGATGAGGGGGATCAGTGCGACAGTGCTATAATCATTTTAAATATTATATTTCTAGGCCAAAATTGTGATATTTAAAATATAAGATATTTGAAACAAAAGATGTTTAATAAACATGTTGAATAAATTAAATCAATTTTATAGAAATTAACATTGTATGCCATATTGTATGGAAGGGGCTGGAGCGGTAGCATAGCAGGTAGTGCGTTTGCCTTACACACAGACAATATGGTCGACCTGAGTTCGATTCCTCCGTCCCTCTCGGAGAGCCTGGCAAGCTACTGAGAGTATCTCGCCAGCACAGCAAAGCCTGGCAAGCGACCCGTGATGTATTCGATATGCCAAACACAGTAACAGCTGTCACAATGGAGATGTTACTGGGCCCGCTCGAGCAAATCGATGAACAATGGGAGGACCATGACCGTGACTGTATGGAAGACCTGATCTAAAAACCACACAAACTATGTGCCACTCTAATAATTTAATTTTGATTGTATTCAGTGGTCTGGAGCGATAGCACAGCAGGTAGGGCATTTTCCTTGCATGCGGCCAGTCTGAGTTTGATTCCTTCGTCCCTCTCAGCCCTGCAGCTACTGAGAGTATCTCGCTCGCACAGCAAAGCCTGGCAAGCTACCCGTGATGCATTCAATGTGCCAAACACAGTAACAACAAGTTCTCACAATTTATTGGGAGATGTTACTGGTGCCCGCTAGAACAAATCAATGAACAATGGGAGGACAGTGCTACAGGACAGTGTGTTACACTATAAATAATTTAATAAGAAAACTTCTGGTTCAGTTCGAGCTTCAGCTGAGAGCAGTAAGCACTATAGTAGTATCACTATAGCACTGTCCTCCCGTTGTTCATTGATTTGCTCGAGCAGGCCCAGTAATGTCTCCATTGTGAGACTTGTCATTACTGTGTAAAGCTATGGGTAGCTTTCCAGGCCTCGCCATGCGGGCTAGACACTCTTCGATAGCACATATACTAAAAAATTGGAACGATACAGAGAAGATTAGCATGGCCCTGCGTAAGAAAACTTCATATAACTTTAATTTATTAGTTAATTCCATAGAAACTGATAACTAAAATACAAGATGATAACAGGTAATATGGGATGTATTTCTATTTTAAAATGGCAGTATATTTTGGTGAGTGATTTCTATTATAATGGAGAAGTCATGAAATAGGTATTAATCATACATGCCATGATACTGCATTTTATAAACCTTGATTATGATCAAAAAAGCAATTTGAATTTGGTAAATGAATAACTATCGGGGAGAATCTTTAGTGCCACATATATTTCTGCTTTGACACAAATTCTCTCCTTTCTGGCAATAAATTATATTGCTTTCTATGGGGAATGCAGAGAAACAGCTATCTATACTTCTTTCCTTCACTCCATCAGTGAGAACAAGGTATATATGAATGGAAAGCATAGACAAGCATATTATATAAAATTTTATATATATACATATATATGCATATATATGCATATATATGCATATAAATGGAAAGGAGCATAATTTTACTGCACACATGTATTGGCATCCAATAGACATTCCAAGAAATATTTGCTAATAATTTAATGAACCTAAGATTGACTAAAATAATTGCATCATCTCTGTAAAATTTAGGTTCAACATGAAAAGATGGAAGTTTTTCACTTTTTTCAACAAAATAAAATCAATGAGGTAGTTTCTGAAAAGTGACAAACATGATAAGCATCTCTAAAGAGATATAATAAATAGTTTAGGATCTTGCTCTTATATTATTTGCTTGAAATCATACAAAAGTCAATGAGCAACTAAAATAAAAATTCAATTAAGTCCAGTAGCACAAATTTCACAATGCCAATAACAGCCTCTTCTTTCTATATTACTTATTTGGGGGTGTTTGTGCTACATCCACTTGTGCTAAGGATTTACGTAGTACAAGTTGTAACCCACAAAAGGCAAGTTCTTACCTACTGTACTCTCTGCTCCCAGCCTTTTGCATTATAAATTTGTAAATTTGTAGTTTCTTACCTAATCGCAATACAGAAATCTACTTACTATGATAACTGAGATCTGTGTCAAGAAATTTTCACCTGGATTTTGAAAATATATTTTAAAAATATTGTAGCATATGGTAAAATACGATGTTGTTTTTTCCTTATATGAATTTCATAATACTTTAAAAAATCATGTGTTCTCAGACTGGTTGAGATCTCATTTTATTTCATGTCGGCTCTTAGCATTTCATTTTTTTAATACTAAATACTGATTTAGTTTATAAATCTGAAATCAAGTATCAATTTCTCATGGGAAAACTTTGTCCCCCCTCTCTTAATGCTTCCCTTTGGTGTAATCAGCATTAGGTGGCATTTAAGTTTGTTTTCAATTCAATCATTGAACATGACTACATCACTTTATTTCCTCTATCTTTTCAATTTATCTAAAAATTTGAGAGAAATTACTACATATTACCTATCTTTATCCATGCATTCCAAAATCTTTTATTGAATATTGTAAATGTATTAGCACTGTTGTGCTAAAAATTCTTGAACCCAAGTTTAAATATCGTGTAGAAAGATGTTTTGTGGAATCAATCAAAGGGAGCTTAAAAGTAAAACAAAGAAAATGTTAAGGCAACTCATCTTTTTAAAAATTTTTATTAGTGAAACACCATGAGTTAATGTGGTAGACTTACAAATTTTTGTGCTTGGGTCTCAGTTATACAATGATCAAGTACCCATTTCTCCATCAAGGGCAACTCATTTTAAAGATGATGTAAATGGGCTGTTGATGGGGATTTCCTCTTGACAGGGCATAGAACAGTTTTCATAACAGCATTACATTTCTAAATCTTTTAGCAATAGTGAACTCTCAAATTGTAAGTATTGCACATTTTCTTTAGTTTTAATAACATCAGTATGTAAAACAAGTATGAAGATATGGAGGTTCTCATTTATTAGTTTGTTTTGTTTTTTGGGCCACACCTGGTGATGTTCAGGGCCCACTTGTGTCTCTGACCCAGCGTCAATCTCTCTGGGAAGTACTCAGAGGATCACATCAGGTTTAGGCTCTGATCTCTGGGTTGGCCACATGCCACATCCTACCTGCTGCATTATCAGTCCTGTCTTAGAAAATATGAAAGTTTTTAAAAGTTATGTGTTATTATAAAATATTATTTTGGTTAAATTGGTGTTTCCTTGATAGAGATTTTGGAAAGAGATAGAATTTAAATCCTAGATGTTGTGTGAAAATTATTGTTTTGTGCTCTTCAGAATTTTAAACTAGTTTGAAAAAAGTCTAATAATTTAAGATAGTCTATGTGAAAAGAAAACAAAATAGAAGAGTCAGAAGGAATCAAATATATTCTTGGCACATGGCATTTGTTACTTGTTCAAAGAAATCTGAAAAATCATACTCCTGTGTCCATTTATCTAGGAAAAATTGGGATTATGCATCAAGAATTGTAGAAAACAGACTGAAGCAATAATACAAAGGGTAAGGCATTATCTTTTAACGTGGCTGATGGCGGTTTGATTCCCAGCATCCCTTATGGTACCCTGAGCATTATCAGGAGTAATTCATGAGTGCACAGCCAGGAGTAAAGCCTCTAGAAAGTGCATGATCACTAATAGAGGTAGTTTGTTTCCAGAAATTATTATAAAGAGAATTCACATCTTTTTGTATGATTTTCTTTGCATTTCTTTATTTTTTGTAAAAGCCTTTATTAATTTGTAGTTCAAAAGAGTTAAGTACATTGGTAAATGTTTTGTAGGATAGGCATATAATTATTCTATTTATATTGAGGGTTGGACTGGAGCGATAGCACAGCAGGTAGGGCATTTGCCTTGCACGCATCCAACAAGGCTGACACAAGTTCCATTCCTCCACCCCTCTCAGAGAGCCCGGCAAGCTACAGAGAGTATCTCGCCAGCATGGAAAAGCCTGGCCAGCTACCCGTGATGTATTCGATATGCCAAACACAGTAACTAGTCTCACAATGTTACTGGGCCTGCTCGGGCAAATCGATGAACAATGGGAGGACCGTGACAGTGACAGTGATATTGAGGGTTGCACGGGGAGCTTGCCAGGCTCTGCAAAGCTATGGATAATGTTTAAAATAGACAATGAAATATGCAATACAAAGACACAAATGCAAACACTGTAAGCATTTTAAACTTTAAAATAAACAGTAATTAAAACGATACATCAAAGGAAAGCAGTGATAATTTTAGACTAATTTCTGTGGAGAAATGTTAACTGCCTTATATACCAATAGTACATGACAGTATTTTTATGATAGAGATAAAAATATCTCTAGACTTACATTTTTATTATCCATCACTAGTGAAATGAGAATGGCTTGAATAGTTTAGAAAGTGCCTGGTTAAAATCAAATACTGAAATTTGATTTATTTTACTTTATTTATTTATTTTATTGAACATTGTGTATGAAATAACACCATTGTGCGCAAAATTCTAGACCACAGTGATTATCAATAATACTGACAGAAACCAACTGGGCTTCAGTCCCAGACTTCTTGGCAAACGCTCTATGACCCAAAGACATAGAAATTAGAATAAACCTTCCATTGACAAGAGAAACTTACATTATGAATGATTCCTGTCTTGAAAAATATCTAAGAAGCAGTTGCTAAAAAAAAAAGTCTTACAGGGAGTTCATGTACATCTGTGAGAAATTTAAACAAAAAATAACAAGCTTATGGCAGAAAAGAAAACTAGCTTTCATTTAGATTAGTCCTTTCATTTTCCAGATAAAAATTTTGAAAACCGGAAGGGGAAAAGCTGCCAAAGAAACCTTGTAAACGTTTTTTAAAAATAAAATTTATGTGTTGAGAAAGTCTGTAAGTCTGTATCTGTACCCCACAGTGATTCACTAATAAAAAATTTAAAAATAAAAAAATTAAAAAATCTATATGTTGAAGTCTATTTTCATCATGAACTTTCCTGTTTCAGATTTTACATCTAGGGGCTGGAGAGATAGCACAGAGGGTAGGGTGTTTGCCTTGCACGCAGCTGACCCTGGTTCGGTTCCCAGCATCCCATATGGTCCCCTGAGCACTGCCAGGAGTAACTCCTGAGTGCAGAGCCAGGAGTAACCCCTGTGCATTGCCAGGTGTGACCCAAAAAGCAGAAAAAAAATACATCTAGACTTTTATCCATTTGAATATTATTTTACAATAGTCTTTGAGAGTGGTCTAGTCAAATTCTTTCCAACATTGCTTTCAAGTTTTCCCAATATCATTATTAAAGGGTATATGGTTATTTTTCTTCAGTTTATTTGTTGTAAATCAGTTGCTCTTTGTTTGTTAATATATGCTTTACATATTTAATGCTACTATGTTTCAGAAGTTAAAGCTGAAAAAATATAAGTTCTTATTGACAAATGATCCAAAATTTAAGATGGTATAAACACATACTTAACCACATAAACAAAGTAATATTCATCAGCTATAAGAGATGGCTTCATTCCATTTTTAAAACTAAAGATGGTCTAGACTTCCATAATATCTAAGAAAGTATTTTGTTAAGTAAATTCAAGAAAATGAAGGACAAATACTGTACGATTTAATGGGATATCTGTTACATTAGTGACAAATGATGAACTAATAGTTTGTTTAAAAAGCTAACGTTAGAACTATAAATTTAGTTGTTACTAAAAAGAGAGTATGGGGTGAGAGAATATAGGGACAAAAGAGGAAATTTTATGGTGAAGGATAAAATTAGAGTTTTAGTAATTAATATACTGCAATGGATACAGATATTCATTTTCATTGACACACATCTAAAACACTCATAATATTTTAATGTAGTTATTTTGATTAAAGCATATAGTAAAATACAATTTTAAAAAATGGACTGGGAAACACATGGTAGAGCACATGTGTGAGCTCATAATGCAATTTGAAGATGACCACTGGACTAGAGCTGTTACCAACTGGATTCCACGGGATGTCAAAAGGACGTGTAGCCACCCACCTACGAGATGGTCAGATTTCTTCGTCAAGACCCTGAACAAATGGTTTGAGGCTCTTCATGTTCCTGGAGCGAT